CTACTATTTACCAGGTACTATGCTAAGCCTTGGGGATACAAAAAAAGGCAAAAAACAATCCTTGTTTTCAAGAAGCTCACAGTTAAATAGGGGAGACAACAGTTAAGCAACTATGTACAAATATATAGGATATTTGGGAGTGATCTCAGAGGGAAGGTATTGCAATGAAAATGGATTAGAAAAGGTTCTTATAACAGGTGAGATTGTGAATGAGACTTGAAGAAAGCCACGGAACCTAGTACAGATGAAGAGGAAGAGTGTTCTAGGCATGAGGGACAATTAGTGAAAATGTATATAGGGGAGTAAGGTATAAGAAAGCTAAAAATAGAGGAAATGGCCAAGTTATGAAGTGTTTAAAAGGCAGTCAGAGAATTTTATACTGGATATCCCAAAAGTCTTAGTACAGTTTTTTTGCTTTAATACGTTAAAGTATAAGAGTCTTAAGCTTTCATATACAAAGTGTCCCAAAAATATAAGTGGACTTTTGAAATACTCTGTATTTGGTCCTGTGGGCAATAGTGTGCTATTAAGAGTCTACTGAATATAAGGTAGATATTGTCAGACCTGTACTTTTTAAGAGGATCATTTTTACAGCCTAGTGAAGGATGGACTAGAGTGAGGAGATACTTAAGACAGAAAGACCAATGAACAGGATATTGCAAAAGTCCAGATATTAGCTAATAAGGGACTGCACCAGAGTGGCTGCAGTGTTTGAGAAGAGAAGGGAGAGTATATGAGAAATAGTACAAAGGTAGAAAAGATAGGAATTGGCAATTGATTGTATATGGCGAATGAGAGAGTAAGGCATTAAAGATGACACTTATATAGTTAGCCTGCAAATTAAAACAATGTTGAGCTATCATTTAACATTCATCAAAGTGTCAAATATGAGTCAAAGTTCCACAATTCAGTAATGATAGGATTCTGCAGAAACAGGTAGTAGTGGAATTGTGAATAGAGTGATTTTTTGGTGATTAATATGGCAATACAAGAGTTATCAAATCTTTGACCCAATAATCATAGTATCCTGATATAACGAATTCATTGAGAAAGAATTATTTGTTCACAAGTATTAAGCTATGTTCTATATAACTGAAAAAACCCTGCAAATAAGCCTATTAGAAAATTACTAAGTAAAATGCATTATAGCAATAAAATGGAATATTGACAGTATTTTAGATAGATAAAAACAAAGACTATAGAGAAATTTGGGAAATGTGAAGATAAAAAATGAAGAGAATCATATATTTGTTGACTATAGTTACAAAATAAGATATCTATGTGTATATCTATGTATATGCATATATACATATGCATGAATAGATAAAGAATATAAAAGGATACACAGTGAGTGTAGCTGCTCAGTTGCTATGGACCTTTGTAGGTTGTACTTTAGCAAACTAATGTACCAATTAAGCAAATTATATTGTCCGCCATACTCCTTACATTAATTAGTTCCCTATATTTCTAAAGTTAATGCTATATTAAGGGCAATTCATTTAATACATATTCATATTTTAAGCTGTTTATTTTTCTAAATTTTCTTTTTAAATTACATTTCATATTTATAATTATTGAGATTAAACTAAATTCCATAATTACTGCTGCCAAAGTACAGCTTAGCCTCTAGGTTCTATGTAGTCAAACTCTCTCCAAAATTAGTTCTATAAAAAACATAACGCATTATACTAAGAAAAATGGGAATTTAAGTGATTTTACATGAAGTATTTATTGGTATTTAAGAATGAATCTTGCTTATTTTATGCAATTTATTTAGTACATCACTAATATGACAATATTTGACAGTAAAATTAGCCTTTCACATTTCAATTCTCATCCATACTAGACAGGTCACTTTAAAGTTATCAAAAAAGCAATTAAGTCTTCATGTTTTACAGTATGCTGTCGCTAATACACTCTATTTCTGCTCCAAGTCTGAGAAAAAATCAGTAGAAAGACTAAAACATTCATACATCATTTCTACATCAAGCTAATACTGCAATTATCAGATCAGGGTCCATATTTTAATTTCTAAGTGGATAAAGTTTCAATATTTTTCAATTGCCTGCAATTTGTCAGGCCAAAATTTAATTTGAGGATAAAATGAGAGGTAAAGTCTTAAACAGACTATTCAAAAAAGCCTAATGTATAATACTGAAGAATGCATGTGTGTGATTTTACATATTTTTAAACTAGCATTAGTCAGTAAATAAAAATTAAAGTACCTACTGTGTGCCTCCCACTGTGCTAAGTGCTGGGGACACAAAGAGAAAGCAAAAGAGAAACCCTGATCCTGAGGAGCCCACAGTCCAATGGAGGAGACAATATATAAATAAACATGTATAAGAAAGCTAAATACAAGATAAAAAAATCAATAAAGATAAAGCATTAGAATCGAGGAAGATTGGGAAAGGCTTCCTATAGAAGGTAGGATTTGACCTCGAGGAAACCAGGGAAGTCAGGAGCCAGAGATGGGGAGAAAAAGTATTCCAGGCATGGGGACAGTCATTGAAAAATGCCTGTATTCAGGAGATGGAATATCTCCTGAAAGTAACAGCAAGGAGGTCATTCATTATCACTCAATTAAAAAGTATATGGGAGAGTTTGAGGTGCAAAATATCTAGAAAGCTTGGCAGTAGGAGGAGAGGTAAATTATAAATGCCTTTAAATGCTAAACAGAGGATGTTGCATTTGACCTGGAAGTGATAGGGAGTCAAAGGATGTAGAAGAGAGAAGTGACATGATCAGTCCTGGACTTTAAAACATTTACTTTGGTGGCTGAGCAAAGGATAGATTGAATTGGAGAGAGACTTGTGGCAGGCAGACTGGCCAGCACAGTATTACAATAGTGTAGATACGAGAAGAGGAGGGCCTACACCAAGTTGGCAACATATCAGAGACAAGAAGGGGAAATATTCTAGAGCTGTTACAAAGGTGAAATCAATGGGTGTTGGTGACATCCTCGATGGGGGACATCTGAGAAACAGTGAAGAGCGAAAGAAGATGCCCAAATTGTGAGCCTAGAAATCTGGGAGGATGGTGGTACCCTTAATAGTAACAGAGCATTGTGGAAGGTGGAAGATTTGGAAGGAAAAATTTTAAGCTCAGTTTTGCATATGTTGAGTTTAAGATGTTTAGAGGACATCCGGTTTGAAATGTCACTGAAGGTGCAAGACTGGATGGAGTCCATCTGAGAGATTAGGGCTCCATCAGTAGATTTGAGAATCATTAGCGTAGAGATGACATTTGAATCCATTCACCCAGTGAAACAGTACAGAGGAAAAATAAAAGAAGACCCAGGACAGAGTACTGTGAGACACTCACAGCAAGTCGGCATGACCTGGATGAAGATCCAGCAAAGGAGACTGAGGAAGATTAGTCAGGTAAGTAGGAGGAGAACCAGGAGTGAATAGTGTCCTAAAAAGCTAAAGAGAAGAAAGCATCAAGGAGAAGAGAGTTATTGATTGACAGTATTAAAGACTTCAGAGAGGTCAAGAAGAAGGAAAATTGAGAAAAAGACATTAGATTTGGCAATTAAGAGATCATTGATAACTGGGGAGTACCAGGCTGTAGAAAGTCAAAGGCGAGAGTGAGAGGACTATACATGGGGCCCCTATTGTAGAAAGCCTTCTCAAGTAGCTTAGCCACAAAAAGGTAGAAAAGATGGGATATTTCCTTATCAATATGAAGATTTTGGAGGAAAGTTGGTTTTTTTTTCTGTAAATCAATATTTAGTTCAGTTTAAATTACCAGAGGCAATATAACTTTCCTTTGGACTCATTCCAAATGAATGACTGGATTGGTTTCTAGATTGAAAATGTATTTTAAGGAGAATCATGCATGTTGAATTCCAGTATTTTTCCACTAGTAAAGGCATCATAATGAGAATTAAAGAAGGCTTTTTTTGGTGAAAGTCAGCTCTACTACTTTAGAGTTATATTCTACAGACAGCGTCTTTGATACCAGTTTCCTCACCTGTAAAATGAGAAAAATGACATGCTCATAGGGCAAAGGATGATAGGACCCCAGAGTTGAAAGGACCTGAGAACTCATCCTGACCAACTTGATCATTTTAAACATAATCAGACTAGGTTCCAATACCTATCTTGTCTACATCATGAGATTGTTGCTAGCATCAAATAAGAAAATATAAAGACCTACACATAGAAGATATTATTCTGCCTCAACCCCTAATTTCTCCCTGGAGCACTAGTCCACTAGTTCCAATTATATGTTGGATTAATTAATAAAAACTAAACATAAGAAATGCTTATAAATTGCTCAAGTGCAAGATCAACTATTTTTAGAATCGATGAATGTGTGTTCTTGTGTCAAATAATGAACTTGATATAATGGAGTTATTAATCAATTCCTCAATATTAATAGTAATAGCTAGCATTTTAAGCACTTTAAGATTTGTAAGATGCTTTACAAATATTATTTCATTTGATTCTCACAAAAAAATCCAGAAGCAGGTGCTATTAGTATCCCCATTTTTATAGATGAGGAAATTGAGGCAAACACAAGTTAAGTGACTTGCCCGGAGTTACGCAGTAAGTGATAAGGAAGGATTTGAATTCAAATCTTCTTGGTTCAAAGACCAGTACTCTATCCATCGTGTTACCTAGCTGCAATGAAGGCTATATTATTCATGATTTAAGTGGAATATGTGTTTGTTTCTGTGTGAAGAGAGAGCAATTGATGAAAATATTAGAAAGTTAGGAAATTATTTATATGTGTTAAGGAAATTATTTGGTTACTAGTTTGGGGAAGCTAGGTGGCACAGTGGATACAGCACTGGGCTTAAAATCAGGAGTTCAAATCCAGCCTTAGACACTTAATAGCTGTGTGCCCTGGTCAAATCACTTAACCCTGTTTATTTCAGTTCCTCATCTGTAAAATGGGCTGGAGAAAGAAATGGCAAACCACTCCAGTATCTTGGCCAAGAAATTCCCCAAAATGGTTATGACTGAAACTACCTAACAACAAAGTTTTGATACCTTTAAATGTGCCTCGTTTCCATGGGCATATGTGTAGAACATAAGAAATCATATTATCAGGCTCTATAGTAATACTTGGACATCCCCACACCATTGGAAGATCTGAAGTTACCTAGGAAAGAAAGTTCATAAACAAGAATTACAGACTTTTAACTTTAGCATCAGGTCATTGAAAAGTTAGAACTTTAAAAGCAAATTCAATTTAAATGATTCCTCATACTGATGATAGTCTGTTGTTATATATCACTTTTAACTTTTGCCAGATATTTGACATATAATAGCTCATTTGATTTCACAGCAGAACTGTGAAGCAGATGCTACAGATATTCATATCATATCCCCTATTTTACAAAAAAGAAAACTGAGGCCCAGAACATTTGTGACTTGTCTACGCTGACCCAGTTAGTTGGTATAAGAAATGGGATTTGAAGCCAGGTCAATCTAATTCCAAAGCCAGTGCTCTTTCCACCAACAAAATATAGCATGCAGAATGAAGAAAAATAGAGAAAACGGTACACTAAGGAAAATTATTTTTTACAGAAGACTTTTTATTATTGCTATGGATTTGAGGATAAGTCATGCTTGAAAGAAATGTAAAATATTTTTCAAACCATGTATAATTTGCTTAAATATCAAAACAGTTGAAGCATTCAAAAAATCAATATTAATCTTAAACTTAGCAATTAGAGAAAATATATATAGTACTTACAAAATTAATAAGGTTATAAGGAATGAAATGTCTTTGAACCAATGAGAAATGAATAATTTCAGCCAGAAAATATCATTTTGGCATTTCATTTTCAATATCATTTTATTTTATTTTATTTTATTTTAACCATTTGTAACCTAAAGTTCATTACTGCAGCACTGAGCTCTCAATGGACTGGCAGAGTATCCCTTTAGAGAGGAGAACAGTCTGACTATGGATGCAGTCAGACTGGGAGAAAAGGTGGCCCATACCTAAGAAGCTTTAGTCTGCACCCCTAAAAGGTTTGAAGTTGGAGAAAGGAGCCTTAGAGGAGGAGTGCTGACAGAAATGGGATCCTATGGGTAGTGGACCTGGGGGCACTTGTACTATGTGAAGGTAAAGACTAATTAAGTATTAGGAAGGAAGAAGGCACAAAAAGAGGGATTGACAGGAATATAGTGTGGCTCCAAACTGGCTGGGGATGAATATCTTGATGCTTCATGCTAGGTATAATTCTAATAAATGGGTTTCATCTCAAATTCTTCTCAAAAACAACCTCAATCTATAGATTGTGTTGGCCTACAACTAGTTTTCGAGACCTGACAAATTTTGAATTTCTCTTCTTTCTTGCCCTTTTCTTCTGTCTTCTATTGCCTTTCAATCAACTGAGGCTATAAAGAAAACCAATTTATTACCTACAACCAGGATGACAATCAATCATTACCCATTTATTAAGCTCTGGCTTGTACCAAAGCACAATGACAGTTAAAAAATGGTTGCTTCTATGGGTCTCTTCCTCCTTCAAGGGTGGTATAGTCACTCCATCATAGCGCTGCACTAGGGTTGAGCCCTATCTTACCCCCAAGATGGGAAACAACTACCGTCAAATTGGATACCGCCAAATTGGGGTCACTCCTGTCAAATTGCTTCTGCACAATACACCTGACTCAGGATACCAGGGAATATCACAGTCCAAGTTTACTCTTCTCCATAATGGCTATAGGTCTCACTGCCTCCTACTTCTTTTCCCTCCTCTAATCCTTGCGTCTAGGATTCCCTGCTATGCCAATCTCTCTTTTCTCCATGGTGTTCTCTGTTGCTCTGGTACCATTTCTACTAAATTTGAAGATATTTCTATGTTTCTCCTGCATCTGCATGGCTCAAAATGCTCCTGGTTCTCATTTTTATCTACACTTACTGACCCTGTGAGGTTACTGCAGTTACTTCTAGTTCCACTACTATGAATGCCACTAATATCTATTTCTCCTTCCCTCTTAAGAAAATGTTAAAGCTTTTACAAAGAGATAACCAGGATCAGGGTTGTGCTGGAATCAGTTTCACTTGGCTCTTGACAAATGCTACAAATCAGAGTTTGATTTAGTTTGTTAATTGTCTCTAAAGTCTAGACATGCACATTGACAGGTAACATGAGGAGGCAACAAGAACCTGATTGAAATAGAACTATATTTTAATATAACTATATTTTATATAACAAAATAAATAAAACTACAATAGAGCAAAAATAACATTAATGTGTGATTTTCTAAGTTAATATGTGGCTCACAGGAATCCTAATGTATGGTTTAGTGGTCCTATCTCTATTTGAGTTTCACACCAATGGTCTATACCTAAGAAAGGGATGGAGAAAATGTTAATAATACATATTAAACTTAAAAGTTTGTCATGTATACAACCCTCCCCCCCTTTCAGCCCCATGTCTCCCCAACTAGTTGTCATAAAATCAGTCAGTCATTTGACTCTTGCAATTATTATGAACAGTGGAATTGACCTGTATAAGGTACAACCTACTTAAGGTCCCCTTCTTATTTGTTTATGGTCCTGTTTTGATTTTTGAATTACACATTGCTTCAGATATCTGAGAAGTAGATTCACAAAATTAGAAGACAAATTGCTACTAAAAGCTCCTGAATGCGGTGAGTGCTGATGTAGCAGCATCCCATCAATGAAGGGAAGATATCACCAAGTTTCTTACTGGAACAGTCATGAAAGACAGTGAAATTGTCATCATGGTTCTGAGTGGCACATCAACACTTGAACTCATTCCAGTATGGGGCAGCAGAAAAGACTGATGGCAAGACTCCTGAAAACGCCATGATTTTCCTTCTTCGACCATCTGGTTAACCATAGGCTTGACTACTGTACCCTTTAGTTAGTTTGGAGAAGTATTGCATGAATTTACATTTCTAAAACTAAATTTTGCCTAGGATCAAAAATACAATTAAAAGAAACTAGGTCCAGAAAATTTGCACAAGTTTAAGCTACAATTTCTAGATTAAAACTTATCAGAATACCATCAATGTCACCACAAGTGTCCCTTTCTCCCGTATTCACAGGACAATGTTCAGGTCTGCAAGGGCTCTGTAATGATCAGTATTATGTTCATTTCTGTTACATTGATTAAATGTGAAAAGACTTAAAAATAATCCTTGTTGAGATAAAAAAAAAATGAGATGGACAGTAATGGGCTAAAACTCATCTCTGGGGTGATTTGAAGTAAGAACTTCTTGAGATCATCCTAAGAAATATTCTAGGATAAAATATACAGGAAAAGAAGAGATTAACTTTAACTAACATTAACTGAAGCAGACTGTACACTGGTGTTGCCCTACGTTGGAAAGTCTTTAATAGCGTCTGGATATCAGCTATGTTGGACCTGCCTCACCGCTGCAGAGTGCCTGGTTGGTTAATAGCCAGCTTTATCCTAGAGCAGGGGTTCTTAACCTTTTTGCTATCTTGGGCCCTGTTGGCAGCCTGGTGAAATCTATGGTTCTGTCTCAGTATAATGTTTTGTTTTGTTTTTGTTTGTTTGTTTTTGGTGAGGCAATTGGGGTTAAGTGACTTGCCCAGGGTCACACAGCTAGTAAGTGTCTGAGGTCATATTTGAACTCAGGTCCTCCTGACTCCAAGGCTAGAGCTCTATCCACTGTGCTACCTAGCTACCCCAGTATAATATTTTAAATGCATAAAATCAAATGCCTAGGATTACAAAGGAAACCAATTACATTGAAGTGATTATAAAAATAATGAAAAAAGTTCACAGAGCTAGGATAAGAACAGCTATTCTAGAACATTGAGGGTACTCCCTCTTCTTTATATTTTGGGCTTTTTAGGTTTTGTGCAAAATGAGAGAAACCCTGAGAACAAAGATCCTGTAACCCAAGTAAAAAGATACTAGGGCCCAGCGGAGGGAAATCTTTGTTGACTGTGTTCATTAGCCTCTGGTGCTATCCTTTGTCTGGAAACCTTTATCATTACTGTTATTTTTAGTTAAAAATTACTTAATTAAAAAAACAACAAACAAACAAACAAACAAACAAACAAAACACCCTCTCACCAAGACTAATATGTCTTGGGACTAATCAATGCTTTTCCAGCTTTTTTGTTGTTGTTAAGAGTCAGACCCAAAGCACCACCTAAACAACACCACCACCCCCATATCCACACCCACCCCCCATCCCCCTACACACTTATACACACAAGTTGGGGGGAGGCAAGAGAAGGGAGGAAGCATTTCATGCAGCTTTTAATATATCCTAGCTTACCCCCTCAACTAATGATTCCTAACTCTCATTGCTAGTGAAGTCAGGGTAAATGAATTCCATCCATCTCTTAACTTGCTTCAGGCTGTAAGAAATATGCACCCCACACAGTACTTCCCACTGACTCTTTATGAGGCTGTTGGAAAGCAAATTTCTTTCTCTATGCTTTTGCAACTTCCATGATCCTCCTCTTAAACCCACAATTCCTTTGTTCCTAAAGTTAAGCCATACAAATTACCTTGATGCTCAAAAATCCTTGAGAAAGAACTAGGAAAACTGAAGTGGAAAGGAAATAGCTAAAAGAAAAGAAATAGTAACATCAGTGGTTAAGTGTCACCAGTAACAAGTTCCTATTTAAAGGAAATGAATGGTTTCACTAAGAAAGAAGAAATTCTTTGGTTCAACTTTCATCGCACAAAACTTAGTTGTTGTTTTTTTTTTTCCTTTATAGATAGTAAACTTCATTTGTGATTTTAGGGCATTTGTGATTCTTTGAAATAATTTTATTTTTGGAAAGTAAGCTTCTTTGCTTTTGCTATTGATTCTGATTATCATTATCCTTTAGTATAAAATTGGTTCTCATATAATCCTTATCCCAAAGTTACAAGTATGTGGCTCCTTTATGAAATAAGGAAAAATAGCTGGGAAATTAATTCAAAAACGGATGATTGTTTTAAAAATCTGAAGAGCCTTTTTTAAAACCAGAATCTGTTATTTCACAATGCTGAAAAACACTGTAATACTAAACTGAAGGGCAAAATGCTGAGTGAAATATGTGAAGCTGTGTAAAAAATCTTTAAAGGTTATTAATCAAAAATTGAGGATTGGATACAAACATATATATATATATACATATATGTATCT